CTGCTCGAACAAGGGTGAATCCAGGTACTTCAAAGAGAGATTCAAGCATCGTAGATTGTAGCCAACTTTCCGTGAAACATAGTAAAGAGGCCTCACGAAATTCATGACAGTACCTTGTGTATATCCTTAGTGTGTCCACTTTGTTGCTCAATGAGCGCAGATTTGTCAGAATGATGGATGGAAGTGGTGGTCGGCTGAATCTCCGCCGTAGGCGATTCCGAACGCCTCCCCTCCTTCCTCGTCTCTTTTTCCTGATGTTTCTAAGAAGCTCCCGCGGGATGTCATCCAGTAACGAAGAACACGGGTGGCTTGGTGTGTTCGTAGCAGGCCGATTGCATTGTAGCTCCAGCATAGCCTCGCGGCTGTAGCAGCGTATAGGCCGGGGCTCCTCGCCATACCTGTTCGTGTTGTGGCTCAGGTGTGTTTTAAAAAGTTGTATGGCCAGACAAGGTCCGTAGAAGGCAAAAATAATCCACAGGATCAAAAGCATGGTCTCTCAAAAATGATGTTGTATACAGACAAACAAACGTTTAGACAACAAAAAAAAAGGCAAAACACAAGACGGACGGAGCATACTGAGACGCGGTGCGCAGCCGAGCAGCGCACACGTACCGGTGCTTGACAGGATTCTTTTCACTTCTGGCTGCGGGGAAATATCTCCTCCCTCTTCCTCCACCTTGAGGGGCAGCGGTGCAAACTCTTTTTTGATCTCGCCTGCTGTCTGCGTTTCTTGACTTTTCTTTGCAAAAATCTTGTACACCGTTGGTTCCACTATGTTTTCTTGATGCACTCCTTCTTCCAATCCAGTGGTGGGGTGGAGCTCTCTGGAAGACACCAGAGTTAACACAGCCCAATCTGTCGAGGTCAGCGTAGCTTTAGCACTCTGGGGTCCGTACATTTCCCCCTTCTTTAGGTTGTAGAAATGCAATTAATTCGCTACATAGTTGAATGCATAACCCCAAACATCGCCATTTTCCAGAGTCCATTCTCCCTGAAGTTCATCGGTTGGAGGCGTTTGGAGGTGGCATACAAACCGCAATATTTTCTTGATTGGAGCACCCAATGGATGGCTGTAGGTTGTCACAGGTGTCTCGCAGATTACACCCATATCAAGACGTCTCTTTGTCATTTCTCTCGACTTGAAAAATATTGAAGAGTGACAAAGACGACTGGCTTTTATTTATCCAACCCCCATAACGGGAGAGGGGGTGAGGGGCGGGGGGGAAGTGTGTGTGTGTGTGTGTGTGTGTGGGTGTGTTCCCCCTCCCCTCGCCCGCCATTTGACTGTAGAGGATGTCAGGGGGTTTTATGATTTCTCTCACACTTGTCCTGACTTGTCTTCAGACATGTCCAGACTGTTCACAAAACTTGTCACGGAACTCTTTAGAGCAAGGAGGGGTTAGAGAGATTGACATTACTTTTTTAAATATATGGTTGCTATATTTCATGTTATTTGCAAGTATTTGTAAGTTACAGTCAATACTGTATACAGGATTAGGGGCACAGGAAGTGGTTAGGAGGCGGGACATTGATCCTATGCATACTAATGTGATTGATTCATTTTTAAAATATTTTTGTAAAACCGGTAGGGGCAGCATTTTATTTTTCTCATTTTTAAATTATTTTTTATATTTTATTTTTGAAAACCGGGGCGGGACTTCCGCTGGAGGGGGCGGGGCTTATGTCAGAAGTGGGCGGGGCTTATGGAGGCGGGCTTAGATGTGTGACCTGTCACTTTTCTATGCATACTAATGAGACGAAAGTGGCATGTGTATAACTACTGGGGTGGATTTTGCGGTGCTTTACCGTCCGCCCATCGGCATCCATATTCTGCCTTCTTCACGGCACCACCACCCCTCATGTGGAGGATGTTCTCATGCCCCTGGTAACACTTAAAGGTGATGGATTTTGTGGTGCTTTTCTGTCAGCCCATCAGCATCCATATTTGACCTTCTTCACGGCACCACCACCACCCCTTCTGTGGAGGATATTCTCATGCTCCTGGTAACCCTTTAAATAGTCTGATACTACCACCGCACTTTACAAGCCAGAAATAATGTTTAAATGGTCGGGAAAAGTGTTTTTAAACGTTTTAGCCTGTCATTTTGCACGATATGATTTAACATTGAGCCTCTCCTGAAAATGCACAGAATATGTCCATTTCCAGGTGTTTTTCATCTGCTGGCGGACTGCCGGGGAGAACGCGCTGCTCGGGAACCAGGCTCAGAGTGAGTGGCAGTGGGTGCCCGCGCACCTGCCTTTTACAGCGGTAGCACGAGCTTGTCTCGGGAAGGGAGAGAAGAGAGGAGCGGAGGCTGCCGAAACAGCCAGGGCCGTCCCCTCAAACACACCCCTCAATTTTGACAAGACAAACAGCAAGAAGAGTCCCCTTTCGACTTCCCTTGCATTCCACCAGAGACCAGTTTGGACTTAAACTTAAGAACCAGGCTGGGGGGGGTCTCTAGGCATCAGAGAACCAGAGAAAAGGGGTGAAAATGGAGAAATTGTATCCCAAAATAGTGTCTCTTAATGCAGTTACAGTCCCCTGACAACTTCCCTTACATTCCTCCAGAGTCAGGAAATACTCTGTTATATTTTGGGAGAACCAGAGAAAAGGGGTGAAAATGGGAGAAATTGTATCCCAAAATAGTGTCTCTTAATGCAGTTACAGTCCCCTGACAACTGCCCTTACATTCCTCCAGAGTCAGGAAATACTCTGTTATATTTTGGGAGAACCAGAGAAAAGGGGTGAAAATGGAGAAATTGTATCCCAAAATAGTGTCTCTTAATGCAGGTACAGTCCCCTGACAACTTCCCTTACATTCCTCCAGAGTCAGAAAAAGTCTAAGTTAACTTTTGGAAGAACCAGAGGAAGGGGTGAAAATGGATAAAATGTATCCGAAAATAGTGTCTCATTATTCCGTGACAACTCCCCTTGAATTCCTCCAGAGGCCAGTTCAAAAACTTAAAGTTTGGTAAGAACCATGATTGGGGTCCTCCAGGCAACAATTGTATCTGAGCCAAAGCACTCATGTAGCGGACACATTCCTCCATGATGTGAAACAGCCGGTTTTTTTCTAAGTGCTCTCAAAAACCGGGTTTCCGATTTCGTGCAGATGGTAGCTTGGAAAAGATGAATACATTTTTTGGACGGAGAAGGGGAGGTCTCGATTCCCCTCTCCGTTGTAAAATGCAACGGGGGAGTGCAAATGTCTCCGGAGCTTCCGCCGGAAGCGCCAAAGACTTGATCTTTGTGTAGCCCCTCCTCCGTTGGCACTTAGCCGTTTTTTAGAGAATTTCGAAAATCATGCATACTTCCATAACCTCGCACACCGTGAGACCCCGGACCCCCGGACTTAAGCACTCCCCCACTGACTAAACCCATATGTTCACACCCTCCAGAACCTCATGCCCCTGGTGACACTTAAAGGTGGTGGATTTTGTGGTGCTTTACTGTCCGCACACCAGCATCTATATTCAGCCTTATTCACAGCAGCACCACCCACCCTCCTGTGGAGGATGTTCTCATGGCCCTGGTAACACTTAAAGGAGGTGGATTTTGTGGTGCTTTACTGTCCTGTACCTGCCCTGCTGGAGGTTCACACTTTAACTTTTTTTGTTACCCTCCTCCGCCTTACACATCTTCCCACACTTGAGCACTCCTCACTCGGACTAAACCCCTCCATGCACACCCAGACTGCACCCAGAGAACAGGCTGCTTCACAGCACTTTGCAAGCCAGGAAAAGGGATTGAATCCTGGGTATACATGTTTTAAATAGTCTGATACCTCCAGGGTGCATCACCACATTTTACAAGCCAGGGAATGTGCCTGAATCCTGGGTAAACATTGTTTAAGTGTTTTTAAATGTGTGAAACAGTGTTTTGTCACTTTCAAAACTCTCCCGTCATTGCCCGGAGAAATTGGGTCGATGTTGTATTCAATCTGACCGTTAATATTCCAGTGAGACGAAGTACGTACAATGACTGGAGTGGGGAGGATTTCTAATTAGGGTCAACACCTGATTTTCATCTTTCTGATAACTTTAAAAGATTTCAGTGATTCGTTCTAACATGTATTTATAATGTAATGATACATTCCTCTAAACCCCAAGAGGCCGCATCGAGCTTTGTTCAGAAGTCAGACGATAATAGAAGGAGCTGCTGTCTTTCAGTAGACCACAACAGTCTACTTGTTTTTATTGATTCACTGATATATGGTTACAAATGATTACAAATGATAACAATGATTAAATGATGAAGAATCTGAACTAAACTGCTGAAACTCAAGTCTCAAAATAAAACCATAAATGCTTAATATCTAAAAAGGTAAAAATGCAAAGTAACTGAATGCAAATCTTAAAAACAGGAGACGTTTCTTTCAACTCTGTCGTCACTGACACCTGTTTCATAAACAGCACATTCCAGGTGAGCATCATCATACATGGTTAAAGAAACACCACGAACATCAGCATTTTATGCACAAATGATTCAATGATGAAGAAAAAAGATGAACTCGACTGACAACAATCAAGCCTCAAAATAAAGCAACTCATGATGAACATCTAAAACGTTATAAATGCAACTCGTAGAAAACTAGAAATGGAGTTTTTCCTTGTTTCTACTTTCCAGCAGAAAGCTGCGTCTCTTTTAGATGCAGTTCATGTGATGAGTGTGATCTGAAGAAAGTGAGCTGCAGGTCGAACATCCTCATATGTGGAGAATACACAATAACATCAGAACAAATGATTACACATCGTCTTTTACTCCAAACATAGTTTAGAAATCAGTAAAAAGCCTCAGGAGCTGCAAAGTCTTTCTGCAGAACTGTCAACTAAAGATTCAAAGGCATCATTTTCTTATTCCAAAGTATTTGCCTCAGTCAATTTACTTTACATGAAAAGATCAAGTCATCAAATCATGCATTGGTTTATTTGCCATGCTTTAGAGGAGAGAGAGAGCTGCTGTAGCTAACATTGACCAGCAGGGGGGGCTCTTTCCTCAATTTGAAACCAGAGCAACAATCGAGGGTCTGTGTTCGTCTGGAGCTCCACAAACTCTCTCCATTATATTCATGCTGGTAACGACGAGTATCTCTTCCAAACAATCCTTCAGTTAGTTTTCTTCTTCTTCTGCTTGGCACAGTCGGCCCGTTACCAAGGCGCACAGTCCTCGCGGAACTTCGCTGACATTTTGAGGAGGCACTTTGGGTCACAAAGGACAAAGCAAACCCGAGATGTGGAAAATATGAATTGTCCATAACGTGTTCAGTGAAGTAAAGTTTGGTTATTGAACAGTAAACCACAAAGGGCGCTGTTTCCAGGAATTAAAACATTTAAAAAAAGTTGATGACACTTAAAATATGAAAACATTATATATATAAAGGTCAATCACATTTTATCACATCACACTTGGTATAATGAAATACCTTTCATCAAACTGTAGAGCGTGTTTTCTATTCAGCTGTGTTCCATCAGAAGAGATCACCAATAGCTGCTCATTTACCAGACAAGTACCCACACTGATTTGGTTCTCGGGTTTTCATTTATTTCTTTTTGTTTTTCATGATTTCCAGTTTCATGGCCTTCTCTGTGTCTCCCTTCTCCTTCATCTTCTCGATCAGGAAGTCCAGGTGGACCTGCATCTCCAGTGAAACACCCTTCAGGGCGATCTCCTCCAGTCTGACAACATGTTGGAAAGACTCTTCCAGCCACTGATCTTTGTCTTTCTGAAGTTCTTTCATTTTCTTCTGGAGAGTTTCCAAGAGGCTCACTTTCTCTTCACTACCTTTTTCACTCTTTTCATACATCTCTTTCATCTCTTTCATCTCTTTCATCTCTTCTTCTGTCTTCTTAACTTTCCTGGTCTTGGTCACATATCTCCAGTGTGTTTTCTGATGACTTGGATCACTGCACTCATCCTCACATTCAGTGCATTGTTTTTCTTTCACGTGTTTGGATACATGACACTTCCCAGTACACACCGTGCAGTAGAGCTCTTTTTTTTTGTATTGCATGACTTCACAGTTTTTTGGATACCAGGCCAGTGTGCATGGATAGTGACAGTTCTCCTCACAGACTTCACAGCAGACAGCTCCTCCATAGTTACCTCCGAACGCCCACCATCTCCACTCACTAACAGGTACTTTAATCTTGAAGGTTTCATCCACTTCTACCTTGAAGTCCTTGTTATTCTTCATGTCTTCTTCGTGTTTCTTCAGAGCTTCCTGAGTCTGTTGGATCTCTCTTTGTTTCAGGTCAATGAACTCAATCCTCTCCTGCAGGTTTTCGATGCAGGCTGTCAGGCTGATGCGTGAATTCAACACTTCAACAGTTTCTTTCAGGTTCTTTGGTTTGGTTTTTATCAGGAAATCTGCAAAGTTACAGATGTCATCTTTTGTTGATTCCCATGCATACTTTAGAGCACGTTCATTTTTCCTATTTCTCTCTGTTTTCTGCTTGTTGTCAAACATGAAATGAACAGGCTGATCCTTCTCGTCTTTTGCACACCTGATTTTCGCATCTTCCAGAGCTTGTAGAACATTTTCAGGTGTCATAAAATCTGAGTGTGTGATGAGGGCAACGATGTTCTCCTCTATGTCTTTTCCAAACAGAGACACCACTGAATCAAAGACGTACATCAGTCGGTCACTCAGTCGACATTCAGTTGCTTTCAGCACCAGACACACTGCATCGATCTCATGAACTCCTTCTGTTGAGCGGAACAAGTCCAACAATCTTTCTCTGATGAGGACATCTTTGTCAATCCCTTTGGTATCTCCAAACCCGGGGGTATCGATGATGGTCAGAGAGAATGGCAGAGTTCTATCTTCAAGACCAAAGACCTCGTACATGATCACGTCTGGCGTCTGACTTTCTGTTTGACTTCTCTTCTCTTCCTGTACGATCTGATACCAGACATTTTCCTCAAACTCCACCCCCAGGGCGAAGTTAACCAGAGCGTTGATCAGAGTGGATTTTCCTGCGCCTGTTTCACCAACAAGCAAGATGGTTTTGTTTATCTTTGTTGGATCTTTTTCACCGAGAGCCAGTCTTCTTATAGATCCAATGTTCTTTTGTTCTGGTTTCAGCCGGTGGACAAAGGGAGATCCTGGAAAGATCTCAACTATGTAGTTGGTGTTATGTTTGAAGGAGATGTTCCTGTAGAAAAGTACAAATATTAGCTCCAAACTACTGAACATAGAATTACAAAAATACCATCTCACAAAAAAGCGGTTTAGTGTCTGTATACCTTAATCCTCAAAGAACTCTCAGATATGATTATTATATATGAATATTAGGGCTGTCAGTCGATTAAAACATTTAATCGCGATTAATCGCAAATTAATCGCACATTTTGTATCTGTTCTAAATGTACCTTAGAGGAATATTTTTCAAGTTTTTAATACTCTTATCAACATATGAGTGGACAAATATGCTTTATGCAAATGTTTATTATCATTTAAACAATGACAAATATTCTCATGAATATTAAACACAACAACCTCTGAACATTACAGATATTCGCCTCAAGTCAACCTGGAACCTCTCATACAATACAAAGTGTGTGTGTGTGTGTGTGTGTGTGTGTGTGTGTGTGTGTGTGTGTGTGTGTGTGTGTGTGTGTGTGTGTGTGTGTGTGTGTGTGTGTGTGTGTGTGTGTGTGTGTGTGTGTGTGTGTGTGTGTGTGTGGTGTGTGTGTGTGTGTGTGTGTGTGTGTGTGTGTGTGTGTGTGATGGATCGTTGGAGCTATGTGCAACTCAAGGCATATGCTCGAACGGGAGCTGCCTGGACGCTGCAATCATGTTGCGCACTATCCGTGCTGAGTGTGCTGACTTCTCGTACAATGTCCCACTGTCTGGCTTCCTGCATAAAGTCAAGTGCTCGGCGCAGTTGTGGCGAAATGTCGCTCCTCTGTTTTCATTTAAACAGCTCCTTATATCCGTTAGCGCAGCTAGCTAGCACCAGATGCTAACAACAACAATGCACGTAAGGTCTCTCGCTCGCTCGGGCCACACACACACACACCCTCCCGGTCCTCCCAACAGCCAGTCGGTGCCTGCCGGTGAGCGTGGAAGTGTGGTCTGCCACAAGCGGGCGGCAGGAGCGGGGCTGTCAGTATCAGCTTGTAGATGGTATTTTAAACTCGATGCGCTCTGAAACTACGAGGCGGCCGAGGACAAAAAATACACATGCGTTAATCGCGTTAAAATAATTAGTGGCGTTAATTTGTTTTTGCGTTAACGCGTTATTAACGCGTTAACTTGACAGCCCTAATGAATATGTTTATATATGAATTATATATATGAATATTAATTACTCAAAGGCCACAAACTGTTTTACCTGGAACATGTATTAATGTAATAATGTTGTGATGTTATAGGTTAAAGTATTTATGTCATAATGTATTAATGTAATAATGTGAAAAAGTAGTTAGGGTAATAATGTGATTATGTAGTAATGTTATACAATGTAGAGATTTGCATTTTAGAGTGAAATCTGCAGTAAATATAATCAAATATAGTATTTTAGAGTTCACAATCTAAAATGCATTGTATTGCACATAGCTTTATACTTTTCAAATGCAAACTGTCTGATCGGCTGGAATTGAAAATGTTAAGGGTTGTTATGTCTTATCACTATTTGAGTCACTATTTAACAAGAAAGACAGCTTCACTCTCACAGCAGGCTGAGAGCAGGAGGCCTCTACATTCATGGAAAATTACTGTCTGCGTTCACTTTCACTTTCATAAAAGTGTCCTTGTACAACGTGAGGCTAGTCCAGACATGTCCAGTCTTTGACTATATTTTATTAATATCTAATAATAAAATTATAAAATCCAATAACGTTCTTCCACCACCAGGTGTCCCTTTCTATCAGCTGTGCACCGTTATGGTGTAAATACAGCCTATCTACCAATTGGATCAAATATAAAAGTCAGCCGAATTAGTGTTGATACTGCAAGGAGACGTATTGTGTGAAAATAAATGTAAGATGTTGTTTAATTGCTTAAATATTTATGATCCACGTCACGTTTTCAGTTTTGGCGGCAGTTCTCCTGTTTGTCCAGAAGTCTTCTCAGCAGGGCTCTATGAATAGAGAACTACGGCAGATATGTAATATTTAATGCAGCCGAACCGTGTATTACAAAGCCATTATGTGATGACTTTCAAAGAGAAAATCAAGAACACTCGGAATAAAGTATTATTTTATTTTTAAAAAACGTTTTCAGATTACACATCACATAAACACCAAATCCCAGCATGCATTGCGGCTAAACCATCCAATCATCGAGCTGAGGATCTTGCCTACGTCTGTTTCCGGTTTCATTTATGACCGATGTATTTTGTTATACACACATTCCTTCACATTTACATTTTAATTTGCATTAAAGTATTTCGTGAGGCCTTCTAACATGTGTTTAAATATAACTACGGTTGTAGTTGAAGAGTTTGTAAATTAACATGAACCGAAGCTGTTGCCTGGCAACTCAATGGCACAACGTCACGTCCGTTAATTCCACATCCACACCGATCCACACGCATGGATTAACATGATTTAATACATTAATGTAGCCTTTAGGGGTATAACGGTTCACAAACATTTCGGTTCGGTACGTTTTCGGTACAGCAGAAAAAATTATCACAAAACACAACATATTTTTTATTAATTATTATTAAACTGTGAATAATGTATTCACTCAAATAAATACAAAATATAATAAAATAAACATTAAGGTGCAGCATTTTGATGAACTGAAATGATCTGTATTTGAACTTTACTGTACTAGTACTCACAAAACATAAACTATTAGTTTTGGGTTTTTAATTATTATTAAATTGTGAATATTCACTCAAATAAATACAAAATATAATAAAATAAACATTAAGGTGCAGCATTTCGATGAACTGAAATAATCTGTATTTGAACTGTACTGTAGCTGAGCAGCCAGTTTGACATTATGACTTGCTTGTCATTGTATTTTCATGTTGTTTAAAGAAAGATGGATTTGTCCACATTGCTTGCCGAAAGGGCAGATCTGCTGGCACTAACAATGTCTCCTGATGTGGAGAACACCCTCTCGCTAGGGACAGAGGTAGCAGATACAGCCAGGTAGCGCTTTGCTAACATGGCAACATAAGGATATTTGGCGTTTGTAATAGCTTTGGCTCGGTCTGAACTCTTTGTGAGTGGTGGAGGCTTAAATGCAGTGGCGGCTGGTGGAAAATATCTTTGGTGGGGCTGTTGATATAGTGAGTAAAAACATTTTTTTGGGGAGAAATGACCCCTTAAATTAGGACTTCTGGCGATGTAATGGCGCGTTTCCAGTGCAGCGCGGAGCTCGCTTTAATGCTGCGTTCAGACCGGACGCGCTTCGCTCTAAACGCTCCTTTCGAAAGGATTGGAGAGTAGCTCTTGCACGGAATTGGGTGCGGACCGAGGTCCGGCGACTCCACCTGCACACCATTCTCATCCAAATACTGCGTCACCTTGGTCACTCACGAGTCTAAAAAACAACTCACGTCAACGCACGTAAGCAACGTGGGTGCCAACGTGAGCGCCCTCGTGACCAAAATATTTGACGGCGCTGATTGGCTGAAATTATGTTTCGGCGGCACAGTTTACTATTGAGACTTTTGCAACGTGCTGGTTGCTGCTGTTTGGCTCGGGGGCTCCGCCCGGTAATGATAAACTAATGCCATGGGCAAGGCCAGGCAGGAAACATGTGACTTATCAGTAACTTTAGACATCGTAACACAATTTTAAACGAGATTTTATTGTAGATTATACATTTTACTGATACCAATTGTATGATATTTACCTTGTTCATTACAAATAAAAATATAAAATATATATATTTTTTTAATATATATTTTTTAAATATAATTTTTTTTATTTTATATATTTTTTTATATTTTGTATGTGGGAAGAGGTGGGGCGGCGCCCCTAGCGCCCCTATGGGCCGGCCGCCACTGCTTAAATGATAGCGGGAGTTGGGTTTGCACTGAGTCTTTTTTCTTTTGGTACCGGTGATATTCACGTTCGGGTGATGCCTTTTCAAATGAGTGTGCAAGTTTGATGTATTGCCAGACGCGTAACCAATTTTAGTTGAACAATGCCGACAAACAGCTTTGGTTCGGTCCACCTGTCTTTGTAACTGCGAAACCAAAACGTTCCCAAACCGGAGACTTCAATGATGCTGGAGGATTTTCCAGCTCAACTTTATCTGCGTTCGCCATTTCGACAGTTCCTCAAATTACTGACTACATTTGAACGCATCCCTCTGACCAGCTCTCATAGTACGCCTCTCATCCAATGAAATGACCTGCTCGCTCTATGACGCGTGTAACCCAATGTGAGCAAATTACTCTTAATGCTGCGAAGCAGCACCTGATATTACTTCCAAAAAGTTGTTCACGTTCTCAATTGTTTACGATTAACGTTATATTTGTTCGGTACACTTCGGTACACACGTGTACCGAACCGAAGGGCCCGTATCAAATAATTTCGGTACGGGTACGTGTACCGTTACACCCCTAGTAGCCTTTGTTTCTGCTAAAAGAGGTGTCGACCAGCTGGGGCAACAAGAAAATCGGCGTAATCGAGTGTGACTATTAAAAAATAAATCCTTACGTCGGGGAGCATTTGCTTGGCATTTCCGGTTATTTCTCCACTGGTTAACATGGGTTAACAATACCGTGTAACTGTCACGTTTGAAGGGACGAAATCGTGACATCTTCACGTCTCCCAGCATGGTAAATCGTCACATGTTCAAGTCTTGCCGTGATACCGGGTTGATATTAATCCTGCCCATTAAAGCAATTTTCACCCATTTATTAATTATATGTTTTAAATTTGAGTGTTTCCTATCCCCTAAACCTCCAGGGATGTACACAGTTTAATACTGGCAACTTCTTATTATAGGAAATACGAAAACATCTTTTAAAACTACAATTCCCAGTAGAGACGTGCCATAGAGCTTGTTGCAAAACACACAATAGCCATTATGTGTAGTTCTGGGGACGGGGTGGGGGAGTGGGGGACGGAGTGGACCCGTTCAAATCCAGTTTTGGACAGTCTTCCGTGGTTCCATCCCATTTCAAAGTGTTGTTCGACTGAAGGGCGTGAAGGGCGTAAACCTCGGCGCACACTCAAATATCCAATCACAGAGCTTGAGGACTATCACAGGTTTGTCAAGCGAAGCGGAGAGAATACTTACTTCCGTGTGTAAAATTCTCTAAAGCTGCTCCGACCCTCGGTCCTGACGGACTCCAACTTGTGTTTATTAATCAAACAAATAAATAAACACAAGGATAATGATGTGTTATTGTTGAGTAAATAACAGTGTGTGGTTTAGAAAATAATACAAAATTAGAAGGAAAAAACGATGAAACAATACAGATTTCAGTATTCTGAGCCCCTACTCTCCCCATAACTGACGGCAACAACAGTCCTACATTATTCAATTAAAATAAAGAAGTAAAAACAATAAGTGTGGCTTGATATTGAGTTAGAAAAAGGTTGATAAACGCTGTGAGAATGGATCTGCGGATAGCATTCACTCGCGATCTCAAGTCGTCTACAACATACGTTTAGGGAGCTACAGTATATAGAAGCCTATGGACATCCCGGAAAGTTGAAAATGTACTCTAAGGGCCCCCCCCCCCCCTTGTGTTGGAAAAAGCCGACACAGTCACAATCTGCGGAGAGCATTTCGCCGCGATCCCAACTCCTCTATTACCAACGTTCAGGGAGCTCTATGCAAGTCAATGGGACGCCCTGCCCATTGAAAACTGACTTCCAAGGGGTACCCTGTACGTAATACAGTGACGGGGAGGGGCCCTGACCGTCTGTCAACATGTGACGGGTTGGGAGTGAGAACGTGTTGCTGTCACTCCCATCCTCAAGAAACCCGGTCTGGATCCCTCCTCCCTCAGTAATTACCGCCCCATCTCCAACCTCCCCTTTGTCTCAAAAACAATAGAACGCATCATCTCCAAACCAACCAGCTTTTTGAACCCCTTCAGTCTGGTTTTCGTCTCCACCACAGCACAGAAAACGGCACTCATCAAAGTCCTCAATGACCTCCTGACCTCTGCCGACACCGGTTCCCTCAACATCCTCGTCCTCCTCGACCTGAGTGCAGCCTTCAATACCGTGAGCCACACCATCCTGCTTACCCGACTCCAGGATATCGGTATCGAAGGTACTGCACTCAGGTGGCTCCAGTCCTACCTCTCCGACAGATCCCACTTCATCTCCCTCAACAACCACTCCTCTGCCACAGCTTCAGTCACCCAAGGTGTTTCCCAAGGTTCAGTACTCGGCCCCTCCTCTTCATCATCTACATCCTCCCCCTTGGTCAGATTCTCCGCCAATACAACCTGGACTTTCACTGTTACGCCGACGACACCCAGATTTACCTCAGCACCAAATCCCCCCACAGCCCCTCCCTCACCCACATCGAATCCTGTCTGACTGCAATAAAGTCCTGGATGCAACACAACTTCCTCAAACTCAACAGCAATAAAACTGAACTCCTCCTCATCGGCTCCAAATCCACCATCAGCAAAAAACCCTGCAGCTGAGTGACTCATTAACGCCTTCATCTGCTCCCGCCTTGACTATTGTAATTCACTCTTCTACGGCATCAGCACTACCTCCCTCAATAGACTCCAGCGTGTCCAGAACGCAGCCGCCAGATTCCTCACCCACACCAAATCATGGCATCACATCACCCCGGTCCTCAAAGAACTCCACTGGCTCCCCGTTTCACACCGCATCCATTACAAACTCCTGGTCTTCACTTACAAAGCCCTCCACCATCTGCCCCCCCCCCCCCCCCCCCCCCCCCCCTACCTCACTGACCTCCTCATCCTCTACCAACCACCCCGGTCCCTCAGATCCACCTCAGCCGATTTGCTTTCCATCCCCAAGGCCAAACTCCGGAGCTTTGGGGATAGAGCCTTCTCTGTGGCAGCCCTGAAGCTCTGGAACTCCCTCCCCCAAGACCTCCGTGAGTCTGAGTCCCTCACCCTGTTCCAGTACCACCTCAAAACCCATCTCTTCAACTCTGTATCCATAAGCCCACCCCCCCTCTCAACCAACTTCCTCCTGACAGCCTTTCTGTTTTGTTTTGTTTCTTTTTGGCATTGTCTTTGTTTTGTTTGTCTACCCTCCCTCCCAAATGTAAAGCGTCTTTGGGTTCATGAAAAGCGCTATAGAAATATAATTTATTATTATTATTATTTTACCTAGTTAACATTGATTTATTTATGCATATTTTTTTATATCTCCAGTTTTAAACGATATTTTTGGTTACTGTCCTATAGTATACATTGGAATGATTTCAAACCTGTTTTTATCCAAATAATTATGAAGGAGTGCCTTGTAAATATGTGTTTACATAAATTGGGATCAAAACATTTGAGACCCACTGAGATAACTTATTGCGCATTTCCAATACAGCGCGGAGCGCGGTTTTAAGCGTGCCGTGCACGTCCCGTTTTTGGTTGCATTTCCACTAGGCGTAGTTCCGGCTAGCGGGTACTATTCACAGTTTTTCTGGCCCCATAAAATCGAGGCTCTTTCCGGGCCAACAACCGGCTGAGTCGGGCTGAGTATGCTAAACTAGAGAGAGAATCGCTGGCAAGGGGGCTACAACTACAACAAGATTAACTTATTGAACCGTGATTTAATTGTAATACACGTTTCAAAATGATGCCGAAGTAACAACATACTGATACCGGTTAGTAAAAACCATGAATTAATGCTTTGACAAGTCTGCAGACAGACGGCAGGCGAGAAAAGCTTTTAAAATTCGTGTTTTCTAAATGGAGATCGGCTAAGCTAACGCAGTATAGGCTCCGACCATCCACACTCACAACAACGGCCTACAGACATAAATAAACCAGCGACTGTGACACAGTCTGTGGTTTGTACTTGTTTAACTTTTGTCAAGTTTCTGAACAGATATGAGGAGCTGTGAGTGCTAACAGCTAACGGCTGATGTTGTTCGCATTGAAGTTGACGTCACGGCTCTGCCTACACTGCGTTACTATAGTTACTGCCCCAGCTACTAAACTGTAATGGAAACGCAGCTTAAAGTGAGCCAGTCCTAACAAGGCCTAACAAGGCCTAACTATACCGTACTAAGCCGAGCGAGGCCCTGCAATGGAAATGCGCCATTAGACTAAAGTTAACTATCTAAACACTGAGAGAGTCCTTTACCTCACTGAGATGTAGTTATCAGCCTCTCAGTCTGACTGGAGAGGACTCTTCCTCCACATCATTGTAGAAACATCTTATTCTTATACCCATTAGAGCAGCTAGCACCAGATTCTAATAACAACAGCACCGGTACCGGTGCGCTCTCCCTCTCTCCCTCGCTCGCTCCCACGCTCTCTCGCACTTAGGCTGTGAGCTTAAAACGTTTTTTCAAAATGTTAAACCGTGACCTTTTTTTTCAATTTCAAACATGAAATCATTCTTGTGTGGACCAAAATACAATACGAATTATTATACAAGTGACTATTCTTCACCAAAGTGACACAAATGGCATAAAAACATGTGCTTCTTATATGGGTAATTTTGTACCCACTTATGTGAGAGTGCAGGCTCCAATCACTCGTGCATCTAAAGGTAAAACTGATGTATTATGTTGTCTGCCTTAAAACAGCAGTTAGTTGAACCTGGTTCTCCAGAAGTTAGTAGAGGTAAGAACAGTGTTTCCGCCAGACCAGGGCTGACAGGGACACCCCTCCTGGCATGGTTATTGGGAAAAGCGGCATTGTTTTTCTGCTCAAAACTTTTTCTTTTTATCTTTTCGTTATTTAAAGTGATAAAAACTGTCGATCTTCTCTCAATTTTTTTTTTAAATGACGGCAAGACGCGGAAATGCTGGGTAAGACCTTTCAGAGGTGGTATGAGCATGGCGGTGAATTTGCATAGACTCATTAACTTCTGATCAATCAGTAGGTCTGATTAATAGTCAGAGATGAACTCAGGCCCACCCACATTAAATCTTCAATTAAGTTGTCAATTGAATCAACATGTAAAGGAACATTTTATAAAGCAGCATTTTATTGTATTTTCAGAATAAAATGATAAAATGTTTAGTATTACTCACATTGCCACGGTGACTGGTTTACAGGAGAATGAGGATGGATCACCTGATGAGTTTTCTGCATAAAAGAAAACATATTCTTAAACTAACAGATTTTAAAATAACTTATTGAGAGAAAGTGATATTTAAAACATTTTTATCAAAAACCATCAGATGTCACAGTTGCTGGAGTTACAGCTGAAATCTGTCTGGAAGGAAGAAAATCCATCTAATCTCCAACCTTTTTTAGGATTAGCGCTACTTTAAAAAATAAAACAAGTTGTGAGCTACTTTTATATATTTAGCACATTTTAACATTATGATATGCTTACCTTTAACCGTTGTGTGCTGTTTGGGTCTGTGGGACCCGTTTGCAGTGTTTACTAAAAGAAAATGTATTCAATTTAATTATTTTAATCTGCTTTATTTGGGAGGTGGACCTAACATCCTCTAGGGGGGACCTCACCTCCTTTAATGTTGAAGTGAAAAGCATCAATCTGGTGCACTTTGAGCACAACATGAATTTATGGATACAGCTCTCAACACTCAGATGAAAGGGAGCTGTATACTTTTCAATAATCCAAACATCTTTAGAATATGATCACAACCAATAAAAAATCATTTAAACTTGTTTATTCTTATCTTATGTTATCTAGTTAGTATTCTTTCTTTTCATTTATGCATATTTTTTTACTGTCCTATAGTACACACTGGAAAGATTTCTTACTTTATTTTGTACAACTATATTAAATAGATAAATGTGAGCTCTCTCTCTCTCTCTCTAGCTCTCTCTCTCTCTCTCTCTCTCTCTCTCTCTCTCTCTCTAGCTCTCTCGCTCTCTCTCTCTCTCTCTCTCTCTCTCTCTCTCTCTCTCTCTCTCTCTAGCTCTCTCGCTCTCTCTCTCTCTAGCTCTCTCTCTCTCTCTCTCTCTCTAGCTCTCTCGCTCTCTCTCTCTCTAGCTCTCTCTCGCTCTCTCTCTCTCTCTCTCTCTCTCTCTCTCGCTCTCTCTCTCTCTCTCTCTCTCTAGCTCTCTCGCTCTCGCTCTCTCTCTCTCTAGCTCTCTCGCTCTCTCTCTCTCTAGCTCTCTCGCTCTCTCTCTCTCTAGCTCTCTCGCTCTCGCTCTCTCTCTCTCTAGCTCTCTCGCTCTCTCACTCTCGCTCTCTCTCTGTCCCACCTGTCCCTAGTGGAAATGACACCATGCGTGCGTCAAGTGTAATACATATCCAAGTTGCAACACACACACAGTAAAGCTCTGCCCCTCATGTGCTGTATTGGGGTAGTGGTGGTTTAATGGATAGTGATGTGGGCTGAAGATCGGAAGGTTGTGACTTCAAATCCCGCCAGGAACACCGCCACTAGTGTGCCCTTGAGTAAGGCACTTAGCCCTTAGTTACTCCAGGGAGAATGTCCCTGTAATCGATAATTGTAAGTCGCTTTGGATAAGCATCAGCTAAATGAAATGTAATGTAATGTAATGCTGTATAGGCTGCACGACTAGGCTGTTCATTGGGGCTGATGTGTAGATTCTGCCAGAAGGAAAGGTCACACTCCTTATGAAGTGTGCGGTGCCGCTCCACATTGCTTTTCTTCCCGACTGCAACGCTGGTCCCGTAAATCAAGCAAGAACATGATTGGTTGATATTCATTGTGGAGGTGGGGGCAGGAGGGGTGTTAGATATATATAGTGTTGTAGTAAGTAGATAGAGTTTGCTATGATTGAGGATTCGTTTATGCATAGGGTAGATTATTTTAATTACATTTCCTTTTTTTTGTGTGTATTTTTTACATTTTGGATTTGCTTGGCGAGCTACTTATTGAGGGCTAGCTCGCTATTGATGTGTTGGAGACTCCTGATCTAATGCAGTGTTTCTCAAACTTTTTCATACCAAGGACCACTTAACCAATAAAGAAACCCTCGCGGACCACCTGACTCCATAAATGTCCAAAAAAAAGGCCTGCTCACCACTCCAACTTTATATATCAAACTACAGCCTAATAATGACAACTTAACCTTCTCTATATCGCCTCGTTCACACAATAAATACAAATAAAAATACAACTACAGATTATATAAGCATTTAGTTCAAATGCGATTTAAAATTCTCACAGGTTTTACACCTCTCATGAAATGTAGACTACATTTATTATGGAGTTTGTGTCCGAGCCAACAGACTCACAGATCGTTGGCTACTGAAAGAAATGCAAAATACACCGCATGTAGTACGACACAAACCTCTGTAACAAAATACAGTATATTTTTTCACATGTTAGGCTCGCGTGGGCTTTTTTTTAAAAGATGCTATTTAAACATGAACCTTGGTGACCATCGGGCTGGCCTGCATGGTCTGCCTTCAAAACAAAAATAAAAAAACGTTTTTGCAGCTCCAACAACAGCCTCGCGGACCACACTTTGAGAAACACTGATCTAATGGTACGTTCACACCGGACGCGATGCGAATATGTCAGCTGTGTTTACTTGCATCATACAAACAAGACGTGAGGCGAGGGGAGGGGGCTTATCTCCATGTAGACACTATGGTAGATACCAACTACAACAAAATGACATATTTTACAGGGATGTAATGGTACTGCATGTTTCAAAATGATGCCGAAATAACACCACACTGATACCGGTTTGTAAAAACCATGAATTAAAGGTCCCGTGACATGCTTTTCCGGTTATTACCCGTCCCCTTGTGTGTTATGTAGCTTTGTATGCATATGAACGATCTGCAAAGTCACAAACCCTCAAAGTACACCCTGTAGCCAGTACAACTCTAACACAGAAAATACCTGTCTATGCTGCCCTAAAACGCCTCGTTGGAGATTTCTCTTTTTCCATTTTGTTCTTCCTGGTCACAGTGATGTAACGATCCAATCTTGGACCAATCCGTGGAGCTCCTCACACACCAGGATCCCTTGGCGTCACTATCAATGTGCGGATAGGGGTGCTGCAGCCCCCTCAGCACCCCCCCTTCCCGCGTCCATGTCCCACGCAGCATTCTCATCTGTTTGTCATTACTGTTGTCATTTTCTGGTTGCTAACAAATGCCATTGTAACACATAAACACACATCAGAGCACAGTGGGCTCATAGGGAGGGGGGGGGGGGGGGCAGGAGCTCCAACAAGAAGTTTAGGACAGCGAGTGAATACACAAACTATACAGAGATGCTCTATGATAAAACCACTGTGATTTTGGAATATTGACCAATGTAAATCTATTCTAGTAGACCTCAACAATGGAATTATGATCAGTAGAAATGGCCATGACATGGGACCTTTAATGCTTTGACAAGAGTGCAGAAAAAGACGGCAGGCAAAACACTTTTAAAATGTGTGTTTTTCTGAATGGAAATTGGATCGATCAGGCTAAGCTAATCTGTAGCTGCTCCGTCCACACTCACAACAACGTCATACAGACATCAATAAAGCAGCGACTGTTTTCCCATGCCATAGACAGTCTGCGTTTTGTACATCGATAACTTTCTTCCAGGAGCTGTGAGCTCTATTTGCTACCAGCTAACGGCTGATTGGTTTTCTGATTCAATGTCAGTGACGCAAGGCTGAGATCCTCAGCCCTGATTTACGCGTACATCGCATCATTCGCGTCATGCGTGCCGCCGGAGCGAATCCGCGTCTCTTCGCGTCTCTCCGCGTCTCTCCGCGTCTCTCCGCGTGTTAACATGTATTCGCGACGTTTCCAAAAGTTATTGTAGTTATTTTCACATCAATTTATGCTATTTCTACTTAATTTCATCGGTTGTTATTATTTCAACTCAGCTTTGTAAGCCAGCTTAATGACCTGTAAATTATATTAAGTCTATTTGACTGAACAGTGTGAGTTGTGATGTGTATTGTTTTACAACTTTCCATGGCCTCATAACATGGCAGTAGCGATTACATATTCCTGCGTGTGGAAAAGAGTCCCGGTCTTGTAGTTGTTTTCATTGAATGAAGGCATTTAAGGGACATGAGGTTTTTTTACGATATACAAGTGAACCAACTGGTTTTGATTCACCATTATCAAAAGAAAAACTTCAACCTGACAGATTGATGATGACTACGAAAAGCAAAGCGGCGGATGAATACATTTTTTTTCAAGTGATGTGACAGACCTAAAATGTAAACATGACCTACCGAGTAACGGGTGCGCAGATATTTTCGGCTGATGAACCACTGACGGACAGGCAAAGTGAGTTGAGTGGATGCATATTTAACAGTTTCAGGCAAAACGAAAAGTAGCTAAATGGAGTTAAATCAACACCTAACTGGTGTTTCAAAATGTCAGTTGACCAAGCTAACATTAAAACTGCGGTCACAGATGTGCGCGCAGTCCGTGGCCCTCGCGTCCGTGCGCCTGTCGGGGAGGGCAGCCGGTCGTCCCTGTGTCAAGCAGACGCACACGAGTCCTCCGAAATGAGCCGTTTGTCATTTCTATAATTTCCGCGTCCTCGACTCCCAGGTCCACCGGCAGCGACCCGAAAACGGATGTCGGCGTGCCGTCTCGAAGGAAAACAAATTTCGCTAAAGGCTCGTCGAGGATCGATTATCGAGGAGGCTGTCTGGAGGAGCCGTAACCGAGGGTACACTGAAGTATTCTCCTGAGACGATTTCAACCAACAGTGATGTTTAAAAGAGGTGTGACGCATTGCTGGACTTCTGTCAAATGAAGCACAGCTCTGCAAACTGTTCCCGTTGTGATTAGAAGTTATTCAAGATGATCAAATGTGCATCAGACTTTCTGCCCTTTACCGTTTGTTTACTCACTAATCACATGTCCCCTGGATGTTAGGTGATGTTACAGTGAGAACAGCTGCTGAGGTCAGTGCAGAAAGCAGAACAGTGTGTATAATATATATTGCTCAATAATATATGCAACAGGCCTACATGTCACACTTTATTTGTAGGCTTTAGGAGATATCTACAAATAAACAGTTGACATTTTTCATGAAACCATAGGGCTTCGCTTAATAAAATACACAAGGGCTGTAGCCTGATATGATATGCTTTATATGTGTTGTACAGTGAGTAGGTGTCTGTTGTAATGTAATGTGCTGCCAGCAGAGGGTGTGTCTCCTAAGTATGTATGCTGCCTGTATTCGTTGTCTTATGTTGTGATGTTTTTTTGTTTTGATGGCACCTTTTGAAAGGGAGAAGCATTTCTTTCTCTCATTGTACAGTACATGCATAATGAGAGAAAGAAATGTAATAATAATGTCATTGCACATGTATAATGACATTAAATGATTATATTCTATTCTAGTTGTTTTGCAACTACTAGTCTACTACACAGCGAGTCTCATAGACATTGTAATGCTTGTTATTAACGTTCTAAAAATGCATGAAAATATTTTTAGGATGATTTAGTTTTATTTTTTTGTGTAACTTTCTATTGCTGGAAATGAGGGTGGAAGTGAACCCCTCACCCTGTCCGTCCCCATCCTCCCTCCCTCTTCCCGTTCTCACAGACCCCTCTGGAGTAATATACATTTCAATAAAAGACATGGGAATTATAATTGAAGGGGATTATTTTAATTCACTAATGTTAGGGTGCGCACAACCAAGCAAGGTTGTTGTATTTCTGTTTGTGGGGTGAAGCTCTGGAACAGTTTGAGTGAGGAGCTCAGGGGATGTCCTAACGTACAACTGGTTACAAAAAGGAAGGACATGATTTTCGGAAGATACAGGGATGAAATAGTTGAATCATATCTGGGTGTTTACGTTTTATTTATTTATTTGGTTTGTTATTTTATCTCTTCTTGATCACCATTTACCTCTTTTATGTATTTGTTTATTTAGTTATTTGTTGTTATTATGTTTTTGTTTTTTAATAAGAAATGTATTTTGGATGTTAGCAAAAGAACTTCACATTACTCACACTCTGATTGTCGTTCATCTTCATGTCTCCTATTCACTAGGTGGCAGTGTCACGAAAAACTAGGGTCCTAGGAATGTGGTCCTGAAACTGCAGCCTCCGGCATTGCAGGAACATACTATTGATACGGGCACTTCTGCTCTGACAGCAAGGCATGATGGGTAATCTGTGACATTTTGCTCTCGAAAATATCAGGCCATTTTGTCCTCATGAGCCAATGAGCAGCTCTCATAGGAAAGAACGACACCCCGCCTCCGACGCTGTATCCAGTTCCTATTAAACATTCATGAGCTAGACCCTTCTCACATTTTCGAGAGCAAAACGTCACAGATTACCCATCATGCCTTGCTGTCAGAGATCATAGAGCGCAGTTAAGTTTCCCCTTATGCCCCGCTCCCGCTCTCAGTAGAATGAATGGAGAGAGAAAATCAATCTGGATTCAGCTTTTAGTGCATTTTACATCATTAAGAACCTAATTATTCTAATTAGGGCTATCAAATAGTTCATGTTGGGTAGTTTATTTAGTTTAAAACAAATTATCTGCCGATTTACAGACGTCTCTTTCTCCATGTTAGTCAATGGGTAAACAGTATTTTCTGATATGGAAATTGTAGTACCGCTGTTTGGCCACTAGGAATATTTTCCTCAGAGTCCGGAGCACAACCTGTGGGCTTGGTTTGGACACACGGGGGATGTTTACTTCGATTTGCAACTTTGTCATTTGTTTTTTTTATCTTTTATTTTTTGTGGTGGTTTCCATGTGTTTTTCTGATTCAACAACCGTGTTCAGACATTTTAAAACCGTGATGTTACATCTCATAGCTATAAAGCACATGTAGTGTGAGCATTGAGAGGCTGCAGCAATGGGTTTGGACACAAGACAAACACACACACACACACACTGCAGGGCCTCACACACACTGCAGGGCCTCACACACACTGCAGGGCCTCACACACACACACTGCAGGGCCTCACACACACACACACACACACACTGCAGGGCCTCACACACACTGCCGGGCCTCACACACACACACTGCAGGGCCTCACACTCACTGCCGGGCCTCACACACACTGCAGGCCCTCACACTCACTGCCGGGCCTCACACACACACACACACACACACTGCAGGGCCTCACACACACACTGCAGGGCCTCACACACACTGCAGGGCCTCGCACACACTGCAGGGCCTCACACTCACTTCCGGGCCTCACACACACACACTGCAGACATACTTCTGTCAGAAGCCATTTGTAAACCGAGGGAGATTCAGAATGTATCCTTTTCCTTTTACCTTTCAGGAATTCTGTGAGATGTGCAGGTTTTGCTATGCTGACTTTAACAGCAATGCTTTCTTTGCTTGTTCCAGCTGCTCCACAATCACACCTGACCCTGACAGCGTATTCTGTCTCTGGTTGAAGTCCTGAAATGATCGCCTTCTCAGCTCCCGCCTTCATTTGCTCCCAGTGGAGATCTTCCTCTTTCACCGGTTGGTCTGGTTTGGCGTACTCCACGATGTAGCTCAAAACCTGGACATCTTGTCCGAGCTCAGCAGGTTTCTCCCAGCTGACTGATATCTCACGTGAGTTAGATTCAACGTGGAGTTTTCCAGGAGGGCTGCAGGGTAAGGTTTGAATGGATCCACTGACTTCATTGGCTGGCCCGGCACCTACTGGTGTCTCTGCCCTGCATCTGAACATGTACTCTGTGTTAGGACTCAGGCCGCTCACTGTGACTTCTTCAGCTCTGGATGCTGTCTCTTGTTTCCAGCCGTCCTCTCCTCTGACACAGTACTCAACAGAGTAGGAGGTGATGTCCTCTGCTCCAAATCTGGGTGGAGAAATGTTCAGCGTCACACTGTTGTGGTTTATATCACTTCCTGTTACTGCTGCAGGCTTTGAAGGCGGCTCAAAGTTCTCGTTGACAAGAAAGCCGTCTGTATAAAGGTAGATGCTGGAACCTTTCTGTGTCTCGTTTGTTAAACCCACCGTCAGAAATGTAATGTTCTTGTTCTCCTTGTTGGCCTCTGCAAAATCACTGAAGAGCTTTGCTTTTTGCCGCATTGCTTCCCCTTCTCTTCTTGAGTTGTACCATTGATCTGGAGGGTGTGGATCTTGAGCATCGTCTGGTTTGGGTGTTTGTTGAAGGTAGTTTGATAAAGTTGAGAGGTACGGTTCATCTCTTCCCAGCGAGGTGAAGACAAAACACACAGCCTGCTCTGCTTTGAAGCTTTCTTTGTACAGGTCTGTTTGAGATGAGATGATCTTGGTGTTTGTCATCATGTCGGTCAGAGACATCACGGTGTATATGTCTCTCTCCTTACAGTCCATCCACTCGTTCAGGTCCTTGCTGTTGAAAGGAGAAGAACATGTCTTCCTCAGTTCCTCTGCGAGCACAGCTTCTTCTTCTCCTCCTCCTCGGATTGATTGCAGTTTCTTTGCCAGGGTTTGTTGGAATTCCAGTTTGAACTGAGAGCACTTCTGTTTAAAGGTTTCAAGTTGTTTTCCAATCTGTGGGAACTGCTGTGCCGTTTGGGTTCTCAGTGCATCGTTGAACCTCATCTCCAGGTCACTGAAGTCCTCCAGGACACTCTGAGATTTTTGAACTAATCCTATACTTATCTGACGGACAAGTTTAGCGGCAGTAGAATCTAAAAATGTCAGAGGCAACAGCCAGACCTTCACTGGTACTGCGTTTTCCCCATTGGCTCCCAGCAGCTTTGGCAGACTTTGGTACACCTCTACTGCCTCCTGAAAGGATGTCGGAGGTTTCTGAACGAAAAAGTCGCCAATGAATCTGCAGGAGAATTTCTCAACGTTTTTTCTTTCATTGTCTTCGATTTTCAGCGAGCCTTCACCCTCGATTGAAAGGTGGGGAATGTTCTTGATCATCACCTTCAAGTTGCCCTGTATATTTCGATGGTTCTCGTTGACAGACACCTCGCGGTCAAAGACAAAGAAGGCTTGTGCGCCATAAAGGATTCCTGTGACTACATGTGTTGCTATTTCTTGATCAAAGACATATGGATGCTTAACATTGCCTCTCCCAAGATGATTCATGGACAGTTCGTTGAACTTTGTGGTAGCTTGGTACATCAGTGTTACTCTGGCCTGATTTTTGGAAGTCTTAGTATCGCTCAGGTATTTGGCTGATCCTCCAACCTCTACCAGTCCACTCAAGAAACTTGCCTTCAGTGATGCTTCAACATTCAGGGCTGAAGATTTGTCCTCAATTGATTCAGATGCAACTATATCAAAATGATTATATTTTTGTAGTCTTTCTCCAATATCAGTTTTAAGGTCATCACAGTCCCACAAAGTGATTCCTGCAAAAGAAGAACCAAAAATCAAGCTAGAACCAGAGTACATGTTAATACACACTATAACTTTGAGGGGAATCAAAGCATCGTCCTTCCAATAATTGTAGCTTTCTTGTTGTTAGGAACTGAAATATAGAATGATTTGTTCAGTGATGCAATTCCTGAGAACATTTATGATAATAAAGAAAGCTTGTCTTGCTTACAAGACAAAAAGACACAAATCAGTTTAATGTACTTGACTATTTTCACGACTGTTACACTGCATCCTTGTTGTGAACCTGACAGAGTGTTGCAGACCGCAGTTGTTGAGCCAAACCATAACAAAAGTTATAAGACCAGGCACTATGATACAGGGTTATTTTGGGTTATTTATATGGTAGTTATAGGAAACAGATCGTCTAGCCGTCCTGAGTTTATTCCAACAAACAATAAAAGTCAAATAACTTCCAGTTCAGCGGTTACAGTGACAGGTAACAGCAATCAGTAGCCTACACATTGTAGAACATTTTGTGATTGCCATGGCATGTTAAACTAAAAGTATTCAACCAACCAGTCACTGTGTAAAGTTTGGCTAGCGCTGCTCTCAAACCAAGGATAATGACAGCACTACTTTCTCCTGCATCCATCACCGGCCAAAAGAACCCTGATGAGAAAGCTTTCCTGCAGGTAGTTAAAGCCAAGATGGACACTTCACGTCACAACTGGCGTCTACTAGAGTGCTGGTCTCCATGCTGAAATCAAACAAGACCTCGAGGCCATCCAACAGGGCACCTAAGCGGACATTATTTATATCAAAATGTCATATCTGAATGCTGTCCTTTAGTGCATGCCCTAATGGATTTTCAGTTGAATATTTGAAGAGATTTGGTGCCAAGTTCTTCTATGTTTTTGATACATCTTTTGTCAATGGCCTCCTTTGTTTGTTAAGATATTGGCTCATATCCTGGAATAAAAGCTACCTTCCATTGTTTCCCCACACCACACTGATTTGATATAAAAATAATCTCTACTTTAATGTCAAGCATTCCTCAGATCCCAATCAAGCATGACTCATGGTGTTTGAGTTGATATGGGCAACCTATTTAAAAGTTTAGAAGGATTTGGAATTGTTCCAAAAGAATGACCTGATCTGCCCCTTTACTCTGTGGAGTTCCACAGGGATCAATCCTTGGCCCCAAAACATTTTCTTTATACGCTTTACCTCTAGGCAACCGGCTCAGTCAGTTTCACTCTATCTCTCACCACTGTTACGCTGACGACACGCAGATTTACTTTAAAGTTTGGCTAAATGTGATGGGTAATATTAGTACTCTCCATCACTGCCTTTATAGATATCACTTAACTTCCTTAATTTAAATTCATACAAAACCGAGGTCTTTCTTAGTGTTCCTGGTAACTTTGTCTCTGACATAAATCAACAGTGGCCCTCAATGTTGAACCATACACAAGAAACCTGAGAGTTATCTTTGACCAGAATCTAAACTTGAGCCTCACATAAACAAGCTAGTCCAAACCTGCTTCTTCCAACATCACAACGATCGAACCCATGCTATAAACAAACGACAAATCTTAAATAACTTATTTATAACTTTTCATCTGTGTGTTTCGTTCCTGGCAGAAAGAAAATGTTTGTTTTTAAAGGTGATGTTTTTTCCTCACCAGGGACGAGTGAGTCGTTGCGGCAGTCGTACAACATCCCGAGGCTGAAAGGCCGTCCGAGTGCCGCCACCTCTATCGTCCCGCTGCCTTTAGAGGTCATCGCTTTGAAGGAACAGAAAATAATCAGCTTGTTAGTTAACTTCCATGATTTGGTAATATCATGTCCAACCATGCTCACATTTTATTTAAATGATACCTTAGTAGTAGTAATGATGCTGTTTCAATCACATTAGTATGCATACAAAGTGACAGGTGCTGTGACAGGTCACACCTTTCCCTACTTATGCTAATGACCCCCTTTGTATGCTAATGACCCCTTTGTTCGAGGTGTTATCACATGTAGGTGTGATATTCCACCCTGTAGTAGACCCTTTGCTGTCAATCTAATTAGCCTTGATCTATAATCGAATTAGCCTCTGAAGTCATCCTTTGATCAGTGTTTAATATAATTAGTGTTCATTAAGGCAGTCTCGTATTGTCCTGTCTAAATTAGATTAGTTTTAATATGATTAGTGTTAATTAAGACAGTCTCTGTGAAGTTGTGTGAGACTGTGTGAGACTCTCTCCCCCCTACCCCTTCCTCCCCCCTTCCTGCCATCCCCCTGATTTCGCTGTGTTATCAGAAGATAGAGGGGGTGGAGTTAGTTTAAAAAAGTCACCTCAAACTGTATTGCCCTCTCTAAATTAGATTTAGGTTTTTTAAATGATGTGTTAACTAAGGATGTTTCTTTTTAAGCTGTGTGAGACTGTTAACTAATGTTTAATTACTTTACTAGCTATAAGGAAGTCTCTTTTATGAAGAGGGTAATCATAATTTAAAAGATCTTAATGACCCACTGATCTTGGATGATTTTGTAATGTTTAATTACTTCACACAACTTTAAAGAAGCCCCTATGAAGTTAGGTGAAGTAGTGTTGGGGTAATATTAGAATTAGCTGTATGCAGCAAAACAGAGACGTTTTTTAAATGTTTTTCTGGTGTTGTATTCATTCCAGGGGCAGATCCAGGGGGGTGATCAGAGCAGAAAAGGCTGTAAACACTTAAATGCATAGAATTAAGAGTGTGGGGGAAATGAAATTATTCATTCATCCAAACATACAAGGCTTCATATATTGAAGATCAATGCAAGGGTGATATCATACCTACACAGAAAATGATGGGGTAGAGTTTCACTCTGGAGGAAACAAAAGAAGCACCCTAACGACTCGTTAACCACACCCACAACACACACCCAAAACACACACACACACACACACACACACACACACACACACACACACGCACACACACACACACACACACACACACACACCACAGAGATATATTTTTTTAGCTGACAATATACATGTTATAAGGTTAAAATAATATATATATATATATGTTTGGGTGTTTATGATGAGCGGGGTTCCAATACTTTTGCTGTATCAGGTTATGCGCCATTTTTTCTTTTTTTTCTAACTATTTAAAACCCTTTTTGACAAATTTAAATAATTGTTGACAAAATTAAAGAATCTTTTTAATGTTTATCTATATGTTTTGTAATGTGTATCTACATATTTTGTATGTGTATCTGCAAGAAAAACGATGTAATGCTAATTTGTTAAACTATAAGGATTAAACCGATTGGTTCTCAGGTTTGTTTGAGCATATATATATATATATATATATATATATATATATATATATATAGCACATAAAACAGATAAAATACTGCAATATAATGTTTTGATATGACATATGTGTGTGTAATTATCTCACAAAGGAACTGTAAGATACACTTTGATGTATGCAAAAAGTTAAAACTAGAACAAATGAAATACTTTGTCTAAATAGATGTTATTTAAGAATGTGACTCTTTTTTTTGTGACCTACTTTTTATTGTTGTTTTTTTTTTTTTTTTGTCCTCACAAAAGGGACTTATACAGATACAAATTATATAGACAATATAGACAATACAAAAATAAAGAGAAAAGACAAAGAAAGCAACAACAAATATAGGGAATCCCTTTCCCATGCCACCCCGTCCCCCCCTCTTCCCACACATCTTGCCATTTCACAGAAAATCCTACCTGATGTTTTTTAGCAACGTCTGAGTTCATCTGTCTATTATATTATATATATTATATATATTATAGCATAACAATTTATAGCATAACAATTTATCCACATAAATTACATTCATAACTTTTTTTTCCACATAACATTTCATCTGTTTAAACTGAATTGCGATTAACTCATAATCTACAATTGCACCAAGGTGTGCGTATATGTGCAATCATCATTTACATGAATGATATTACCCGATCAGCAGCTCTTTGAATAGCCTCTAATGTTTCCCCCTTAGCCCTATTAGCAGAAGCGATTGACAGCTCTGAGATTAGTAGGTCATGGAAGGATGATATCCATTGCTTAATAAATAAAGTATGTGGGGGTTTCCATCGTATTACAATTATTTTTTTGGCTGCTGTTAGACCAGCGAAAAGCACCCTATTCTGATGTTTCTGTAGGTCAAGAGAAGAATCATCATTCAACAATACAATACTTGGGAGACAGGGTGTGAACTCCAATAATCTCAGATACAATGTCAATAACCTGTTTCCAGAACGTTCTTACTGCAGTACATTCATAAACCATGTGTACATATGTTCCAATAGTCTGTTGGTTACAGAGAAGGCATATGGGGCTTGGAATCATCCTTAATTGACAGCATGTTCTGGTTGACAGGTAATATCTGTGTATCATTTTATACTGTATCAATTGGTGATTGTGGTTACGCGATGTTAAGGAGATATTATTCCATATTCTCTTCCAATCAATAGTCTGCGTATCATTTTTTAGATCTGCGTTCCATACTGCAGAGATGCCAATATATCCGGTTAATTTATCTTGCAGTTTTTTATATATATATGAAGTAGTGCCGCTCACACTGTTTGGACTTAATATGAACTTAACCAATTGATGTGTTGGCAGAGGTTGATTCCAAGGACCTCCATATGTGTGCATGGCAGTATTTAGTTGCAAATAGAAAAAGAAAGAAGAGCCAGGCGCATTATGCGTGTCTTTCAATTCTTGGAAGGACATCAAGCCGTTGTCGTTGGTTATGTCAGAAAGTTAATGTATTCCTCGGGTTTGCCATTGTGGGAATTGGATTGCTTTTTTCCCAATACGTAGTAACAGGTTATGAAAAATGGGTATTTGCTATGCCAATCTACAGACCAATTGCACAATTTCTCCACATGTTTCCACACTTTCACGGCTTGCCCAATAATTGGTCCAAATGTTTGCATACAGTCAGACATGGCAGAAAATAAGACATCACCAAGTTTAAGGGGATAGACTATACTTCTTTCAATTTGAATCCAAGGTACATTGGTGCTTTCATCAATCCAGTTTTTCAAGGCTCGAAGCGTGAAGGAATAATAATAGAGCTCGAGATTGGGAACATGTTTGAATGTGACTCTTAATGGCAGCTTTTGATTTAAGTTAAGACAATCCAGTTAAACAATGACTTTACTGATTTTTGCTTTTTTCTGCTACCAAGATATTTTAGATACAGTTTGTTGTCTGAAAACTTTACAATTTTAACAGTTTTTACTGAGACTAGGCAGATTTGTGTGTAATTCTCTCACAAAGGAACTGTAAGATACACTTTTATGTATGCAAAACCTTAACAATTAGAAAATAAAATACTTTGTCTGAATACATTTTCTTTAAAGGCACTTTTGATTTTAACGCTGTTTCAGTGGAACAATCCAGTTTTGTTGACATCAATGCTTTTTTCTCTTTTCTTGTGTTACTAAGATACTTTTAGATACACTTTGATGTATGCAACACTTAACAACTGGAAGAATATGAAGTACTTTGTAAGGAATTCGTTTTATTTTATTGGCCGTTTTTTTTAAACACTTTTTTTTTTATGATAACCTTTTTTTTTAAATATATGTTTTTTAGATGACTTTATTGATTTTTGTTTTTTCTGCAACCAAGATACTTTTAGATACAGTTTGTTGTCTGAAAACATTACAACAGGTAGAATGTCAGTCACTGTGTAACACATGTATTTTCTTAAAGACTGGGACTCTAAAAGGCAAGTTTTGTGATTTTAACACTTATTTACTGACACTAGACAGATTTTGGCTTTTTTCTCTTTTCTTGTGTTACTAAGATACTTTTAGACACACTTTGATGCAACACTTAACAACTGGTAGAATGTGAAGTACTTTGTAAGGAATTTGGTTTCTTTAAATGGCCGTTTTTTAAACACTTGTTCAGTTAAACAATGTGTTTTTTTTGTATAACCTTACATATTTTAGTTATTTTCAAGATACTTTTTTTGATACACTTTTATGTAGGAACATTTTACAACTGGTATAATGTCAATTACTTTGTAACAAATGTATTTTCTTAAAGACTGTGACTCTAAAAGGCAAGTTTGTGATTTTAAAACTTTTTTACTGACACTAGGCAGATTTAGCTTTTTTATCTCCTTGTCTTTCTCTTACTTTTTGGATAGAGTTTTATGTATGACAACTTCACAACTGGTAGAAAGTTAAGTACTTTTTCTGAACAGATTTGCTTAAAGACTGTGACTCTTAAAGGCACTTTGGGATTTTAGTAAGATAATCCAGTTTTCTGGAAATAACTTAAATGATTTTAGTTTTTTCTCCAACAAAGATACTTATAGTTACACTTTAATGGATGCAGAACTTTATAACTTGGTAAAATATTCATTAATTTGTGATGAATTGAGTTTCTTAAAGAATCAAACTCTAAATCAGGGGTGGCAAACTCATTTCAGTTAAGGGGCCACATACTGCCCACTTTGATCTAAAGTGGGCCGGACCAGTAAAATCATAGCATAATAACCCACAGGCCCTATAACGACAATATTTCTGTTTAAGTGCAAATAAGTAGGCTACAAGTACATTCGGAAAATGTCCACATGTAATGAGACGCAAAACGTTATGAACAAACTGACATTTATTAAGAAAAAACAAGTGCAATTTCAAGTGCTACACATATGTTCTTTACAACAGATCTTAGTTTCCACCTGAACTGACTCACCACAAAATACAAATAAAAACGTGGGAGCTATTAAGTGAGGAGTTTGAGTTACCCCCCTTGCCTTGAAGATATAACATTTCTATATTTTAAAAAGAAGTTGGGCAGTGCCACATCAAATCAAACTATTGTTTGCCTAATGCAGCTGCTGATTGACATTATAATACACAATGTTCTATGACATAATAATATAACATGTTCAAATATTTCAGTAGGTTCTTATTTTCACGTCACTGATTAATTTGCTCCTGAAACTTGACATATTTTAGCCCTCACAATGGCATCAATATCAGGCTTAAAATCCTGACTAGCAGCCAATTTAATGAGTTCATTCAGGCACTTGTGTGTGAGTCTTGAGCGCAGCTTTGTTTTAGTAATGTTCATTACAGAGAAAACCTGTTCACAAAGGTAGGTGGTCCCAAACATGCTCAAAACTTTTGCTGCCAGGGCTGTCAATTTGGGGTATCCTGGCAAAAGATACCGATAAAATGTGCCCAAGTCCGATGAGGCAAATTTGTCCTTTAAATCCTGATCACATTGTAAGTCGATTATCTCAAGTTGTATGTCGACGGGCAGATCCGCAGCCTTAACTGCAAATGGCGAGCGAAACACTGCAAACTCTGTCTCAAGCTCACCAAAGACCTGAAACCGCCGCTCAAACTCCCGCAGCAATTCCGTAATGTTGTCTTTGTACCGACTCATGTCAGCAGTAACTCCGGTCATATGCACATTTCTTAGATGAGGGAAATGAGCAGGGTCACCACTTGACAGCTGTGTCTCCCACAAAGCCAGCTTCAACTTAAATGCGCGTATGCTGTCATAATATTCTGTGACAACTTTTTTGCGACCTTGCATCGTTATATTCAGATTATTCAAGTGCTCTGAAATATCCACCATAAATGCAAGGTCCTGCAGCCATTCTGGGTTTTTTAATTCATGCACTGGCTTACCCTTTTTCTCCATGAACTGTCCAATTTCCTCGCGTAGATCAGAAAAACGCTTCAGCACGGCACCTCGGCTCAACCACCTTACTTCAGTGTGATATGGTAGGCTACAGGTGATGTCTTTATCACTGAGGAGGCTGTCGAACTGACGGTGATTCAGCCCTCTGGCTCGGATGAAATTAACAGTTTGGACAACCACTTTCATGACGTGATCCATTTTTAACGTCTTGCAACACAATGCCTCCTGGTGCAAAATACAGTGGAATGTCCAAAAACGATCTCCTCCATTTGCTGCTTGTACTTTCTCCCTGAATTTCGTGGCAACACCTGCTTTTTTCCCGATCATTGATGGTGCGCCGTCTGTAGCCAGACTGACAGCACGGGTCCAGTCCACTCCGACCCTGTCCAGTGCTTCAACGAGAGCGCTAAAAATGTCATCCGCTTTAGTGGTGTCTGTCATAGGAACCAACTCAAGGAACTCTTCGGTGACCGTCAAAGTCTCATCTACACCACGAATGAATATGGCCAGTTGAGCAACATCTGTAATGTCAGTGCTCTCATCGATTGCAACTGAAAATGCTACGAATGACTTGACTTTTATTTTTTTCTGG